TTTGGCAGTGACGTCACGCCCAGATGAAAAATGCTTTTCTTAATATAGGAAAATGCTTCGAAAAAGGTCATCACAAAGCCACGAACAGATCTTCGGCGAGCGAGTGAGGGTGTGAGAGGCAGGGAACAGGAATCAAAATTCAGCGAGTAAAAGAGCACTTACTGCGTCCACATTTTTTTAAACAGAATTCCACTTTGCTTTTGGAGGCAATAGCCAATCCAATTCCACTTTCTTATGAGTGCAGCTGAAATTTCGTGCGAAACCGGTGAAGGCAAAACAAGGAATTTGAATTTGATAAGGATTTGCTTGCAGTCGATGGCTAGAATCTTCTGCAGATCGCTTGGCAGGGCTGATGCTTTTTCGCAATATGAGTCGTAAAAGCGAGACAAAATTCTTCATTTTGTTCGACTTAAATTTCAGTAATTGCACCACTTACAGCTGATGACTCATTGAGGTGCTCGTTAATCGGACAGCTCCACGTCAAGCGGACAATGAAATTTTTGTTAGTTTCTGTTTGTGTTTGGCAGAAAACACTTTTGTCCTTGATTGCTTCCTTCCCGCTCCTAAAATTCCCATAAAGAAGCGTAATTTTTAGAGTTAGGGAAGGACAAGAAGGAATAAAAGTTTTAAAGAACAAGTAGTGGGAAGAGGGCATTGTCTAAAAAAATCAACAAAAATAATGTGAAATGTAGTAGGGAGCAAAATGATTACATGGGAAGGAACGTTTGGGTTCATTAAGTCATACACATTCTATTTCAGCACTGCAACTGGAAGTGTACTGGACAAAATTTATCGAGTTCCCCAGTGAAAGCGTGTTAGGTAGAAACTATCTTTTCGACACTGCAGCAAGTACTAGCACAGAAAAAGTATATTTTTTGATATAGCATTCTTTGCTGCAAGGCGATACGACTCATTTAGTCATCAGAGAGGACGTGCATAAGTACCGTACAAAACAAGACACAGTACAGGATAACTGTAAAGATTCACAATGTTACTACTATTAATTAGAAAAGCCGATAGTAATTTTCTATCTCTTTTAAGCATCTGACGTCTGGAAAATCAACTTGTTTACAATGATAAAAATTTGTTTTTTTTTTTTTGATTTTCGGCTGCTGATATTAGTACTATTATTGTCCCTTGTATTACTATTATTATGTTATTGCCATCTTCAGTATTAATTTTATTCTCATTATTTTTCGGAAACTTTTCAGATCATTTCTTTGCTTCGTTTTTATGGAGATATCGGCAACGCTCGGCGAATTTATCAACAGTTTCAATGGTAATTTCATGGGGAGCGGCGTCGTTTGCGTCAATAACGTGTGTTACAGCGGAAGCGGTGGCCCGTTCCTTTTTGCCGGCATGGGATGCAGCGTTATCGTAAAAATTTTGATTTTTTAGTGGATTTATCCTAGGAGTTCACCAATAAAATAATGAAGAAAACCCATCCCTTAATTCTCCGATATTACATCCACTGCCTTTGGCACTTCTTGTACCAAACACACTAAGGAAAACTTGCAAATAAAAAGCTGCCATAAAAGTATGTTTTGCCTAGAGGATGTAAATGAGGAAAGAAAGGGGCATCCTGCCTTAAAGGAAAAAATATACTGCAGAAACAATTCCAGACTGTTTCTGCATTGCAGTTTGATCGTGAAGCAGTGTTTAGCAAATCACTTTCGATTTTGAAAAGTTAAGTTCGATTACTTCTTGCCCCGCATCTGTTTGCAAAAAGGGTTTCTATCTATGGCAGACGTTGTTTTAGCAGGAGCGTTGTTTGATAGAGGAGTGGTGAAAATCCTTACGAGCAAACTGTCGCAATTGGAAGTTATTTGGGAATAAAGAAGTTAAAAACGCGCTGATAAGAACTTACTAGAATTTATGAAGTTATCAGAAGTTATTAGCCAACTAACGCCTAGCAGATACTAATACGTATCCAGAAAAACGACGGATTTCTTTGCCTGTTTAAAGCTGTTAGAGTATAACCCGGACTCTAAACTGTTCTGAGAATGAAGCATGGAGGCAAAAAACTTGCCGAATTATTACTATCCCGCATCATAAAACGAGTTTTAAGTACGTCTAAGTCGCGCGTACGGACTCATCAAAGCTTCATTTACGAAACTGTCGGCATCTTCTCTCACGGTAATCAAAAGCACTAGAAGCCGCATTTTCGCAAGGTCCCAGAGTGCAATTTTCCGTCTCACCCAGTGGATCTCTTCTCCAGACTTGACCAATAAGAAGTTTCCAACACAATCGTACGCCTTAAACTGTGAAGCAATGAACGTTTTCACTGTTAATAATCTTATTGCTGCTAAAAGTGTGCACAAAAGGATGATCATACAGGCATCCCGAGTGCAGTCAATTAATTCGTATTCGACAAATGCGTTAAAAATAAAAATAATTGATAATTCACTTGAAATTTTGCATCGAAAGTTAATGTGAAACATTCAGAACAATAAAATCTACAAGGATGGTGTGTATCTGCGCGACATGAACGCAGCAGACTATGAGAAGCTGCGAATGTACGAGCAAGCTGTTCAATACTGGACACAGGATTTGCAGGACAGCATACAAAGAGTTTGTTTTGCATTTATCTTAATTTATTTATCTTATAGCGAGTAAATTATTTATCGTGTACTGAGTAACGTTGTAAAATAGTTTTCTAAAGTTTAACTCCTCATGTAGGATAACGCCATATGGCGAATGGATTGCGGAATTCCACTGCAAAGTACGATCTGACATAGCTGTGCTCATTGTGTGGGATTGTTTCAAAAGCATCACTAAAATAGGAATCCAAGCCGCGGATTTGAAATTTACTCAATCGATTAAAAATGCTCTAATCTTCAGCATCTCGAAGCAAAATCGGAAAACTTTGCAGTGAGAACAAAATCAGGAATTTTCAAACGAGGAAAAATCAAACAAGAATTATTCAAAATAAAAAAAACCCAAAAATTTTGTGTTCCTTTGTCACTGCAAATGATTCGAAAAGTGCCCAGTCACTGGCTAGACTATGCGCTTTTCACCGCTTCTGCGCTCGCCAGTAACGTTCTCAAGGTTGTTCTCGCAGTCGCCAGTAAAATTCTAACGACAACTTTTTTCATCTCATATTAACTTTGTGAACCGCTTGTCAAAAGTTGTGAAGTTCGAAAAACTGAGGTGAAACTGCGAAAAAAGTAAAAACAGCGTTGTGATAATTTCTGGCAAAACAGTAGTTTCTCAATGCGCTAACATCGGCTTTAAAACCTAAAAGCTTCCAGGATATTTCATTGAAAAAGATTTCAGAGTTTCCCATGGGACCCGCGAAATCCACAACACGTTAATTTTCCTTGGAATATGATGAGTAGAGTACGTCGCCATGCAAAGCGCGAAAAGATGCAGCGTAGATCGAAACGATTTTTACCGTTCCCAGCAGTGCCATATTTCTGTTAACATATTTATTCATGGAAAGCTAAAGAAAATAAAATAATTTGTGCACCGTGATCGTCTCATGACAATATAAAAACATTTGTGACCACATATGGACAAAAGTAGGTGAGAACAAAATTAAGTGAACAAAACATGTGAGCAATATGATTGAGTGACAAAACTGACTTATCATCCATCAGCCAAACAGCGTTTACATTTTGCATAAACTAACGGTTTTGGAGATTTTTTTGAGATGTCAGTTTACATATATATCTTTTTTTTTTGCCTAAACCATACAGTAAAACATGCCCCGCAAAGGAAATGAATGAAAACAATTTAGAATAACTTTACCCCTTTTTTCTCTCTCCTGTTTTCGTGTGAGAAAACGGCATAGCGGAGGAAGGAGCTATGGTCATTCGCAGGATATTTTGCAATTTCCAAACTTTTTTGCTGCATACAATTTTTTCACATTTACTGTTGTAATTCGGTGAACTCAAATTGAGCAGAACCAGGAGCGAACTGATTCAGTGGGTGGAATATCAATAGAATTTTGGATTATAATCGGATAATAAAAGCCAGTTGGTCTATGCCCTTTGTATCAACGTTACACACAGCTGTAGCTAAAAAAGTTATTCAACGGTGCTCGAAAGACATGGTAGCCTTCCGCGTGCTCATCGCGGTCCTATTTGCTGTGTCATCCTTATCAGTACCCCAAAACTACGTAAGTTCTTATGTAATTCGCAAAGTTCTATCTAATTACAGTGATAAAAACCCCTCTTCTGCATAAAATGCAGTGCAGGTTTATCAGCAGAAAAATCCCTTCAATAGTTCTTGCTGACAAGTGATGCACAAATTTGTTTTATCCAGCAAGATAGCTGAAAAAAAAGAGCCTAATTCTGGTCTGG